ACTGCAAGTGACTCATCAAAATTAAAAAGGCTGTCACGCATAACGGCAGTATAACACTGACTGTTAAGGTTTTTTTAAAGTCCAGAAACCCCATCAAATCGTCTGTACATTACAGAATCTTAGAAAATATTCTACCAGCTAATCCTTACCACAAGCAGCTAAAAATTCAGGTCCAAGTATTTTGTTTTAGCTTTTGCAATAGTTTTACAGCACCTGCAACACAAGGTCATATAAGTGCCCCCCCCCAAGTGTTACTAGAGAGTAACAAACATAAAAAGGAAGGAGAGATCAGGACAACAGATGTTTGATAGGAAAGATAGAGCAAACCACACAAGAGCACCCGCCAACCACCTGCAAGGTCCAGTTTGTAAACACCAGGACACGTACCACAAGTGTCCGCCTATCATACATTTACCAAATTAACTTATTCAAAGAGGAAATGGAATACAGGGTGCAAAACAACATTTTTTGTAAATTAAGTTTTTTTTAAAGTCTTGATTCAGAGAAGAAATATTACAGCAATTTTTTTTTTAAACAGATAAAAACACCACATCCTTTCCAACATTCAAAGACAAAACAACAATGTGCTCACCTTTTTTTTAAAACAACCCTCAAGAGTTACTCTGTAACTGTGCACATGTTTCACTTAGTTTCAGGGACTCTTGTGAACCTTAAAATAGGATTTCTCTATGCTGATGTTTTAGTTTTAGTAAAAGTTTTACAACACTTGTAACAAATTAAATAAAATAAGTGGAGAATTAGGGTATAGTAATACATACAAACAAAAAAAGGAGAGACAAGGACGAAAGATGTTTGATAGAAAGTGAACTTAAAGATATATAACTAAGAAAAAACAAAAAGTGCAAGCAAAAATAAAATGTTTAATGCGGAAAATAAAAGGCAAGCAAAGAGTGCATGAACTCACACACGACACACACCATCAGACATTCCTCAGACTATCTTAACTCCAAGCCTATCAGCATTTCATAATTCAAAGGTAGACTTTTATATTATCAAGGCTGTATGGCACAGAGTGTGGGGCGAAAAAATATCTCTGCTGTCGCGAGACCTAATTTTGCATTGAGTTTTTGCATTTGCTTGCATTCCTGGCATTGCAATACATTGGCATCTCTCCAGAAGAAGACTACGCAATAAAATCACAAAAAGAGCTTTCTATATTACATTTTGCATTGTTAGCATTGCTTTTACATTAGGGAGAACTTTCTGCCTCACACAGTGAATAAAATACACAAAAAAAGGGTCATTCCATGAAAAACGAAACTAGTGACAAACCTGCTGAATAAATTCTGAACAACGATAGAGTGGATTTTTTTAAAACTGTGTGTTAGAAGAAAGTTGCCTCCGACATACAAAAATAAAGAATGGCTCTATCACTGCTGGGAATTTTCCCATCAAGTCATCATCTCCACATTACCCATACAACTGCATCTTCATTCTTCATGGACTGACCCAGAAACAAGAGTGCCATTACAAGAAATAGCAAGACAACCATGACTTTCACAAACCCTTCCTTTAAATATCCGTACTGTAAATTCCTTGTTCTCTGCTGGTAACAGAACTGGCCATTCAGTGTAAGTTCCAAAAATTCTTAACCCTGGATTTCATAACATCGTGTTTTTCTACACCTAAGTCTTCAAATGATTTACCTTAAAATATCCATGATCAACTACATGAAAAAGAAAGAAAAAACCCAACCTTTTCCCATCATACTTCCGGAAACGTTTTTTTTGCTTTGCAACATTTTTCTCATCTCTCATTTCCACTACAACAGCAACAGACTAAAGAAAAGAACCTAAAAGAGGCGTCATCTATCACTATCACCATGCACATTTTATCACTCGCCCATCAAACACAACAACAGCACAGGCACGCACCCATGCCCGCACACACACACACACACACACACACACACACACACACACACATATACACACACACCTTCTAGTTTTCACACAGGTCACGGAGCAGAAAGCAGTACACCCAGCACTCACTCACACAGAACTGACAACAACTATAAGAAATTCCTGAGATGTAACTAGAGTGACTGAAAACCCCTCAACTACCACAAAAACTTGCACAAACAACCACCACTTTTCCCACATTGTCACACCGGATACAAAAGCCAGCAGACTGAGAAACTACACAAATCTTCCCTTGTTTCACACAAGGTACACTAGGGAAGCAGCGAGGAAAAAGAGATTGAATAGTGTTTTTTTAGTTCTAGTAGAGGGTTTTACGGCACTCGCAACTGCATAAGTTCATATGAGCGCCAGAAGATTAGAGGTGTTACAAGAGAGCAACAAACATAAAAAAGAAGAAGGGGAGATAAAGACGATAGATGTTTGATAGGAAAGAAGAAGCAAACCACAACAGAGCACCCGCATTCAGTCTTAAGACCAGCTTTACAAGTATGAACTTTAGCTGACTGGGGTCATCGTGCTCATACCACCACACCTGTCTGTTCAGTGGAGTGCCTTTTTCACCTGGGGCAAATTGAAGTGACACTGCTAGTCTTGTTTTTGTACTTTCTAGGGATCTGACAAACTAAAAAGATCAAATTCTATTACATTTGGTAGGTTGTTGCATCAAAGTTTGACCAGGAGCATGAATAGGAATCAGATTTTTAATTTTAGTGGGAGTCTTCCCGCACTTAAAACACAATCAGGTCATATAAGAGCCAAGAAATCAGATTTAACAATGCCAAAAAAAATTGTGTTTGAAAAAATTAGCCTGGCTAAACTTGCCTCACTGGGCAGCAAACTAAACAGACAGACATCAAGTCCCTTCAACTCACAAACACAGGACTTTGGTCGGAACACTAGCAGGTAAGAGATAAGAACTCGATTGGTCCACTGGTGTGACGAAAAGACAAAGATGATGCGGATCTTTGCACTGACTGCTCAGCAAGAAAACATAGACAACAGACAGAAACACAGCAAGAAAACGTAGACAACAGACAGAAGCACACATATTTCTCCCCTATCCCACCCTCCTCCAGATTATCACCTTGTCCAAAAGCAGGTTTACTAAAGCTAAAGGCCAGAAGCAGACTACTGTATTCACATTTTATTTATTTATTTATACATATATGATATATATACACACATAATCACAATTGTGACAAAGACTGTTAAACTGTATATTATAACATTAATAAGAACAAAAACTGTCATGGGTCATTGCCAGATACTGGCAAAAACAATCCTGTCGCAATCATGTTCACATACACTTTTTTTTAAAAAAACAATGCTGGGAAGATAGTGGCAAAACCCCAAAAAATGTGATAAATACATGCAGTAAAGGGACAAAACCATCAATGATAGTGAGTCCAAAGTTACATTAGTTAAGACATAAAATCCAATTAGCAAGGATGCATATATATATATTAGGAATTAAGGAAAAGAGAATTAATCCAAAAATGTTGTAAACTTTATTCCAAAACAAACATAATCAAACACACTGACATGTAATATGTTTCAACACAAGAAAAGCTTTCTATAAATGTGGTATTCAAAGAGCCATCACAGATACTGATAATTTTTCGACTGAGTACACAAAAAACCCGAACAATCACTGAATAATTTACTTCATAACTTTTTGTACAAATATCTCAGCTGCATCGTAACTCTCGGGCACTTGCAACAAATCAACACAACACAAACACTGACATTTCCACAGACTCTCACACAAATCCACACATCCTCACAACTCTCACATCAGTCACATTAAAATCTTCCCCGGTCGGTCTCATTTCCGTTGACTAGATCCGGCTAAAATCCGAGCACGTGCCGGTGGAAGACGCCTCCGTGGCCGACCACCTCCTTGGAGATGGTGGAGAGAGTGCTGAAGTTTTTCCTGGTGTTGTTATCCGTGGCCTGCTGTAGGTTCAGCTTGATCCTGTCGTGGGCCTGAAATCGGGCGGGAGTTTTTCAGGGGGTTTTTGTCAGAGTTTTACAGCACTTGCAACACAAATACAATCAGCATTGGTCTCACTGACCGTGGTAGAAGTCACAAGTCACCTAAACCTTTAAGTTCTTCTTTGTTTTGCTGAAGAAACATTTCTCTGTGTTACTTACGCAATATTTTCCTCTGAGGATGCATTAATAATCTTCAGACATTGACGGACTAACTACTACCATTATTATTTCTGGCAAACTTCTCCACACAGATTGCATTCAGAGCTGCCATGCCGGTGATGCACTATCAGCGGCTCAGTCAAATTCCTTTACGACGGATACGACGACAACATTATAATTAATTTTTGGCAATTGCCAAAAGTAAGTCTCTCTTTTCGGAAATTCTTTCATTAGATGAAGGACTATTAAAAAAATAGGTTCATTTGTTTTGATTTGAAGACCAATTTAGTGACGTGTATGTCACTCTCAAGTTTCTTATCCAAAGAAGGTTCCGGCATTGTGGGGAAAACCCCCTCCGGAGATAAAGAGCTCACACCACAACCTGTCCTCCTTTGATGGTTGAGTGTAAGAGACTGACAAATGTCAAACTGCACAGTCGCATTTGTTGGAGTCTTGTGTCCAGCTATAAGCTTGACTTCAAGTGAAGGCACACAACAACTCCTAACATGAAAACAAGACAGACTAGATTGAAAAAGAAACCAGTTCCAAATTCTAAGCATTGGGACATTCTCTGCTTACAACCTAGAAGTATCAGCTAGTCAAGTACATGAAGCCTACTTTCCAGTACAGATACACATACTGTAAATAAATGCAATGTAGCACAGTCCAACCTGCTCTTTTACTTCCCTTTTTTTTTTTCAAATCCAGCGACCAAATGACCGCTTCCCACTTTACAAGAGTCAACTGTTGGATGATTATTGCTGTTAGATTTCCCAGTCAACAAACATACCAATAAACCACCAATGAGATAAATATGAAGTAATGAGTCCACAAGCTTTTAAAATTGACAGCCTCACAATCTCCAGTTTGTGACTTTGCCCCTTTTTCCTGTGGCCTCCTCAAATATAATCTATAATCATTAGTTCATGCTCAGATGCTACTGGATCGCTAACAACAACAACAACAACATCATTAGTTCATCTTTTAACCCTATCCGTACGTCGTGTTTTACTATCGTATCCATACGACGTGGAGAACTCTGTGCCACCACTTTCCAAAAGAGGAAATTAACTTGTTAATCCAATCCGTACACTTTGCATAGCAGTCTGTCAAAATGATTTTTGGAGAAATACTGAGAAAGTTTCAAAGACATCTTCGTACTAGAAGTATTCTAAAAGGTGAAAAATACAACCCGAGGGTACAAAATGACCCCAGGGCATACGGATATAAGGTCAAAAGCTCTCCCCCAACACACTTAAAAATCTTCCCACGATCCGGTTTCCCCCCAACAGGCCACACAGCCATCTTACCTCATTGCACCAGACTTCACACATCATCTTTTCGTGTCCGGCAGAGTTGTGAGCCTCGTTGATACTGCGCGTGGCTCGGGACAGAACGGCCACCATGGCGTAGATGTCGATGGCAGCATCAGCCAGTCGCTTCAGCAGGAACTGCTCGTCTGTAACACACAATAAAATAAATGACGACAATAATGACAATAATAATAAAAACACTAATGTTAATTCCATTATTAACAATGCCAAAATCTTGATGATAATAATATTAATAATAATAACAACAATAGCAAAAGTGACAATATTATCAGTCTATCATTATGTTAATGCAACAATAAAAACAATTTCAAAATAATGACATTCATGACGATGATGATAATAAAAACAATAAAATAACAATGGCATTAAAAACATTGGGGGCAATCATACAATGTACGTAGATGATGATAATTTAATAAAAATTTTTCCTCTCCTGCCTATCTTTGACAACTCATACTAGACCACCAATCCAAATGCCATAAATCAAAGGACCAGAGCCATCACAATACTGTATATGGGTCCAAAATACTGTCAGTGGGCTGTCACAATTTCATATGTGGACCATCACAATACTGTATGTGGACCATCACAATACTGTATGTGGACCATCACAATACTGTATGTGGACCATCACAATACTGAATGTGGACCATCACAATACTGTATGTGGACCATCACAATACTGAATGTGGACCATCACAATTCTGTATGTGGACCATCACAATACTGTATGTGGGCCCAAAATACTGAATGTGGACCATCACAATACTGAAAGTGGGCTATCACAATAACATGAGAGGAACAAACCGTACCAATGATTTTCTTGTTGTGTTTCATGAGCAGATCTTCCACGGTACCACCAAAGGCATCTATAGATTTGGCAGCCTGCAAAAGAAATGTGAATAACTCAATAACATTAAAGTCCTTTAGTTTTACAAGTTTCAGCACATGTTTCCAAACTCCTCGCTAGATCTATACTTCAGTTCGAACTTTCTGACATTTTTTTTCATCAGGGATTCTGAGTCTTATTTCATCCGATCTATGAACTTATCAGAGACTATATTTATTCTTCTTATTCACAAGCATAATAGCTCCATAATTTACAATTCATATTCATTTTTCTTCTAGCTGGCATCATCGCAGATCAAATCCAAACACTGTGAAGTCTTTTTCTGCAGTACATTCCAAAGCTGACATAAGTAAAAGTAAAGCTGAAACCCAATCTGAAGGGAAAGGTAAACAGATATAGCTGTAGATCGTTGTGAGTTTGTATGTGCGTATGTGCATATGTACGTATGTGTGTATATGTGTATGTATGTGTGCTGCGTGAGTGAGTGAATATGTGTTTGCACGAGTATGTAACACTATGTACCTTTAAAATTGATTTGTAAATCCATAATATGTATCATGTTAAGCGCATAGAGCATTGCATAAGTGGAAATGCGCTATATACTATATATTGTTACTATTATATACCTGCAAATATCAGAGCAAGGCAGATATGTGATGTCTCCACATACAGAAAATGAGCAGTGTCTGGGTTTCAAATCCTACGCCAGCTATAGAAATGTCCAACATCTCCACGTAAAGAACAAAACCCAAATCTTAAATCTATCTATCTAATCAACATATGTGAGGCAGCGTGGTGGAATCAGGCTCTCGTCAAAATAATCAAAGTGAAGAAACTTGCTTTTTTCTGTTGGTGTGTGAATTTTTATCAATTTTTTGTTTTTCGGCTCAACACCTTTCGTGCCCATTAAAGAACACATTTCTATGTGGGTTTTTTCTGAAAAACGTAGATTAAAGGCAAAAAAAATGTAAATTTTCAGTTACCACGGACTCTTAAGCTAAGGAATTAACTAATCTTTGGCTGCCATTTTCTCACTAATTTTACCTCGGAAAACAGGTGACCCCCGCCTCCTTCATTCGCAAATATCTCACTTGTATTCAAGATAAATGGATATTTTTTTCATCCAAATAAACACAAGTGAACATCTTTACGATGATACCAATAACTCTACATGCTCAAAAATTGACGAGAGCCTGATTCCTCCACCCTGCCTCACATATGTAATGTCCTTGCCTGCAGAAAATGCACCCCATTTTTTCCACAAATGAAAGTATCTTTTTCTCTCTTTCAAATTCTTTTTTAAAAAGATTTACCACACTTGCAACACAATTAGGTTGTACAAGTGCAGAAGATAACAGGCGTTACTAAAGAGAAACATACAGAGAAATTACGGAGGAAAGATAAAACCATAGACGTTTTTGAGGGAAACGAAGGCGCAAACCTCACCACAGTACACCCCCTCCCGAACCATTCACTCTTTTCTCCTTCTGGTGCCAAATCTGAAACAACACACCGGCCATGATGGTTTGCTTCTCCTTTCTCAGCTCTGATGCTCTTAAAAAATCATTTATAACCCATAATATTGTCGATGGCTGGTTGCGAGACTCTGACAAACCCCATTAAGCAATTTGCCGTTTGTTGTAGTCTTGCTCACAGCCATTTTTTTTCAACACCACAACAACGTAAAAATGCAAAAGAGGAAGCAGCAGTTAGCACCCACCTTGTCGGCACAGCCCGCCAAGTCAGGATGAACATGCTCCTTCAGGGAAACATTGCCAGTGGACATTCCCACCAACCTGTCGACAAAATATGGGGGGGGGGGTTTGTTTTAAATAAAAGTTTTACGGCACTAGCGACACAATTAAGTCATATCAGTGCCTAAGATTAGAGGTGTTAGTTACAAGAGAGTAACAAACACAAAAAAGAAGGAGGAGAGCTAAGGAAGATAGATGTTTAATAAGAACCACACCAGAGAACCCACCTACCACCCACAGTTTTGTTTGAGTGAGGAGATGCACATCAGAAAAAAAGGAGGAAAAGAAAAGAAGAAGGACCTATCAGGAGCTTTCTCTAGAGAACCACCCAAACAGATATTATAGATTTTTTAAAAGATATAAAACCTACCAGTGATGCTCTCTATGTAGGACCTACCAACCACACAAAAAAAGACACAACAGAGGGAAAGACAAAGTATAACGCCTGCTTGTGGCATCATCCAACTGCTCTTCTATATAAAAGAAAGAAAATAAAAACAGACTGATCTTAAACCTGAACCTGGACAGAAATTATCTACAGTCAAACCCGCTCAAATGGCCACCTGTCTGAGACAATCAGCTGTACAAAATAACCACTTCCTCCCCCTTAGCCCTCTTCTTTTTATATTTGACACAGACATTGTCCGAGACGTCCACCTGAGACATCTACTTTTCTCCCCGTTGTTGAAGTCTCATACAATTTCAGACAAACAAATTCATATACATATGTGAGGCAGTGTGGTGGAATCAGGCTCTCGTCAATTTTTGGGCATGAAGAGTTATTGGTATCATCATAAAGCTTGTTCACTTGTCTTTATTTGGATGAAAAAAATATCCATTTATCTTGAATACAAGTCGAGATATTTGCAAAAGAAGGAGGTGGGGGTCACCTTTTTTCAGAGGCAAAATTAGTGAGGAAATGGCTGCCAAAGATTAGTTATTTCCTTAGCTTAAGAGTTCTTGGTAACTGAAGATTTACATTTTTTATGCCTTTAATCAAAGCTTTTCAGAAAAATCCACCCAGAAATGAGTTCTTTAATGGCCATGAAAGGTGTTTTGCCAAAAAAACAAAAATTTGATAAAAATTCAAAACCTGCGGAAAAATACAAATTTCTATACTTTGGTTATTTTGACGAGAGCCTGATTCCACCACGCTGCCTCACATATCCACTGACATTGCTGCGTCCCACCAAAGGAGGTTGCAGCCAATGCTGGACTACACAGATGTGATTATAAACCTGATATCTGTCTCTCTTTTCTTTCTGTTCCATCAACCAAAACTCAACAAAAGAATAAAAGCACAATCAAGACAGGGTCAAACATCCTGAACCAGGGACAGGGGATACACCAGAAGTAGGAGATCGCCAAAAGAATAAAATGAAAAGTTTAAAAAATGAAGGAACAAGAAGTAAACTCAGTAAAGCACCCACCAACCACCCATAAGATAAAAAGTTTTCAGTTTTAGTAAAAATGTATTGATAATTGCAACACAAGCAAGTCATAAAAGTGTCAAAATTTAGAAGTGGTGTTACTAGAGAGTAACATGCAAAGAAAAGAAGGAGGGCCACAGATGTTTGATAGGAAAGAAGTAGCAAACCACATAGGAGCACCCGCAAAAAACAACTTTCTTACACCCACAAAATTAAAGCCAGCAACACTATGACAAAAAAGAAGTACAAGGAGCCGACCACAGCGCTGTTCCCACCACCAGCCCACAACCCACTTCCTTTCTTTCTTTTTTTTTATAGTAGAGGGTTTTACGGCGCTCGCAATTGCATACGGTCATATGAGCGCCAAGGGGTGGATGTCAACAGAGAAGTCTTTACAGGGAATCAGACTTAGACTGCTCACCTCTCTAGCTTCAACAGCACAAGGTCTACTTCGACTATCAAGGCACCCCAAAATAGCAGGTCACAAGAGAGTGACAAACATACAAAAGAAGTATAGGAAAAGGACAATAGTTAGGATCAGGAAAGAAAAAGCAGCAGTTCCCTGTTGTAGATCTGACACAGTTATGAGCGTGACATGAGTCAGCCCATTTACAATTCTACTGTGCATTAGAACGAGAAATGTCCCCCCTTTGGGAATGGCCTGAAGACACTTCAGTCAGTGGCACCGCCCCGGGGGGGTAACCCACTTTCTAACGACCATAACTAACCTCTTTGCTCTTTTGGCTCCTGCACCCACCAGGAGACCCAGATTGGCTGCAGGATTGGCCAGAGCCTTCTGGAGTTCCTTCAGTTGGCTGCCAGCATACTGTAAGATAAGACAACAATGGCTTTTTAGTTTTAGTAGAGGTTTTACGACGCTCACAAATGGTTATATGAGCGCCAAGGGGTGGATGTCAACAGGGAAGTCCTTACAGGGAATCGGACATACTCTGCTCACCTCTCTAGTTTCAACAGTGCAAAGTCTGCTTCAACTATCAAGGCACCCCGGAAATAGCAGGTCACGATAGTTAGAATTAGGAAAGAAAAAGCAACAGTTCCCTGTTGCACTTCAGGCAGTTATGAACATGACATTGATGAATCAGCCCATTTACAATTACAATTTTACCTTGCATAAGAACTCGAGATGTTAATGTCTCCCCCTTTGAGAATGGCCTACAGACACTTCAGTCAGTAGCACCGCCCCGGGGGTACAACGGCTAACGGTGTACTGTTGTTAGATAAAGTAAGACAATAATGGCTACCGGCCTACTGTAAGATAAGTTACCAATTAATTTACTCTCTCTCTCTCTCTCTCTCTCTCTCTCTCTCTCTCTCTCTCTCTCCCTCTCCCTCTCCATCTCCCTCTCTCTCTCCACATGGGAATCGAACTAAGGTCCTCTGCATGCCACTGTCAAGTGCCTGATCCCTACACCAGACACTGGTTCCAACTGACCTGAATTCCTGTCAGTGAGACAAACAGGCGCAAGATGTCGTTGGTTCCTTCGAAGATGCGGAAAATTCTCAGGTCCCTCATCACTCTCTCCACACCACAGTCCTGGAGGGGGGAGAAGACGTTAGTCTCACAAAATACACAGAAAAACATAATAATAAATAATAAACGACATTTATATAGCGCTCAAACCCGATCAAAGTACAAAGGCTCTGAGCCCATCAAGCATTAGCTATTTTCTCAACATCATGGTAATGCTTTTGCAAGGAAAAACATCACACCTTACGTGTTCTACTAAATATCATCACCATGCATTTGTCAGAAAACTTCAACATCAGCTTTTTCCTCAACGTTACGATAATGTCTTTGGGGTGAACATGTCCCACATCAAGCTTTTTTCTTAACATCATGGTTATGTATTTGGGAGCAAAATGTCACATCTCTGCTTTTTTCTCAACATGCCACTCTTATTGTTTTTTAAGAGAAGAATATCCCACATTAGCTTTTTTCTTGACATCCAAAATAAGTTTTTGAGAGAAAAACATCACACATTAGCTTATTCCTCAAAATCATCATCCGGTTTGGTTTTTTCAGTATCATATCACATAATAGATTACGTCAAAGTATTCGTCTTTGAAAGCCATTATGGCTCTGACATGTCAAGGAAAAAACTTTTTCTCCAAGTATAGAGACAACATTTTGTCAAGAAGAACTTATTATACCTACTTAATTTGACCTTCTACTCGCGCTTTGCTGTCATACCATGCACCAAAAAAAAAAAAAACTTTTTTAAAAATAAAAAGAAGGAAAAAAAAGAAAGGAGAAAAGAATAGAAAAGGAAAAAAAAAATGGCTGAGGACAACTTCAAAGCAACATAGATGGCCCCTTCTTCTAAACCTGAAAACACGGTTTTTAAAAGAAAATCCAGTTAGGCTTCACGCACACTAGGGAAATTTCAACATGTCACAAAGCTGTGAGTATGCAAATGAGGCAATTTTCACAGGCTGCGAGTATGCAAAGGAGGCAGTTTTCACACCCCTTAGTCTCTCTTCACCGTCAAGTGACATCATACTTCGAAGCCATACGACAGACGGAAATTGCCACGGTGTGCATGGGGCCTAACTCTCTCTTATGCTCTCATGCAAAACTGTCACCCTCCTCTCCCAATATTCACCTTCATGTAGCCCATGCCTCCCAAGACTTGAATGGCCTCATCAGCACAGTACCACGCTGCCTCCTGCAACAACACAGTCATAATCATTAATATTTATAATCATAATGAAAATATCATCATCATCATAATCAAAATAATATTCATTCATAAATATTTGACAATGACCACTGTATCTGTAGAGGAAAATATTCTTGACAAGAGATAGAAGAAATGAGGATTAAGATGATCTGTGGCTTCTGTTATAGCTAATGAGACCAATTCTGGCAGAGAACAGTTTGCCACATTTTGAGCGAATAAAAGCTTCATTTAACAACACATTTAACAAAATCTTTCAGTAAATTCTCTTGTAAAACAACACAAAGAAAATTATTGACATCAAAGTATAATTTGACAAAGTTTAAATTACAGATTAAAGCCAAGCACCACCCACCACCTGTATAAAATCTATACAAAGTATAGTTGTATAAAATCTATACAAAGTATAGCGGACACATTTTATTTACACAAAACAATTTGCAGGTGGTAGTTAAAACACTTACTAGTGACAAGTATTTATCGAAACTCCAGCTTAGAAATACACGTGAATGGGCCCTGCTAAATTTTTAGCTTCTTAAATGTGGCACATGTGGGCGCTGGCTATTAAAAGGTTGACAAGCACTATTTTATGTGTTTCTATCATCTTTTATCTCTTCTTCGCCAAAAAGCATCTTGTGGCATATTAACACCCATTAAATACAACACAACATCACCTTGAAACTAACCAGTGATCTAACACAAGATAGTTCTGTATGAGTCGAATGAAACAAATATTTACCACTACAATCAAGTTTTCAAGTTATCTAAATTTTTTTCGCATAACTGTAACAGACATTAATTGACAATCCCAAACTTAGAAATTATATCTTTTTAATAAAACTAAACATGAAAAAAAAACTTCCTTCTAATACTGCCACTGCAAAGCGCCAAGCTGCAAATGCAGAAAGCATACCAAACACGTTCTCAAAGCCACAATACTCTTTTAAAAACGTTTGCAATAAACAAGGATAACTTACAGAGGCAAATATTTTGCTGATGGCTGCCTCAATCTGAAATTCTGCTGAGCCTTGGTCCATGTTGGCAGAGATCATGTAGGCCATCGACTGTCAGGGGAAATTGAAGAATGAAACATGATGACAAACCATTCTGTAATATTTTTTCCTAAGATACCTGCCTTCAAATGCAAATAAAGGTTGTGCCAATGTAGCAAACTACGAGATAAATACACAACATGATACATTGTTGAACCACAATCTGAAATAAACAAAGTGCACTGTTGAACCAAACTGTGAAATAAACCAATTGCTGAACCAAATTATGAAATCAACAGATTGCTAAATCAAACTGTAGAATAAACAGATTGCTGAACCAAACTTTGAAATAACAGATTGCATGGTTGAACCTCAAAAACCCTTGTAGGTCCAAATGTTCACAACACACACCATAAGCGTTCACTTTGTGCCATGTTCACATTAACGACAGCCTTTCTGTGTACTGTAAGACCAGGTGAGGTAGCACAGAAAGAACCCACCAAGGGACAGTCATTAATAGCAAAAAGAGGTAGGGGCAAATCATCGGACAGCAGTTAAAATGTCCTACACCTACAATTTGGAGAAAAAAAATATTTTATAGCATTATCTTAATCAATCATATCAGTTGTATGTGCTCAAGAAATATTTTGTAGAAATTCACATTTTAAACATAGAAAAAGCAAAAATCCCTCCCCCCCCCCCCCCCCCCCCCCCCCCCCAAAAAAAAACCCTCATAATTTAGGAACAATTGTTAAAAGAACAAATCAGTTTTTTTCTCTACAGAGAAATTTTGCTTTTGGGACTGAGTACATTTAAGCAGCTTGCTGAAGAACTGCAGTTGAGTCCTTAGACACTTAAGTCGACATAAAGTCTTTGATTACCGTATTCTCACTAGAAAAATGGAAGAAAGAGGAAGAGATAAACCAAAAATATATGTCTCAGAGACATTGAACAGGTGGGTATAGGGAACAGAAAAGGACACTATGAAAAATTTTTAGGCATCTGGATTAAAAAATGAGAAACAAACCATGATTGCTGATGTCTGTTTCAGATCGTGAAAAACAAACCATGATTGCTGATGTCTGTTTCAGATCTTTATTTTTTAAATGTAGGTGCTTTTACGCCACTATTGATTCAATTTACATTACATAGGAGGTAGGCTTCTGACCCTGTCTGTCAGGCCAACCCGGGCCGAGAAGGCTTCATCCCAGCAGAAAGACAGAAGAGATACGCTCTAAAAATGTTCTCCCCACTCGAGAATCAACCTCGGGTCTCCTGCATGTGACAGCGAAGCACCTAACCACAACACCAGACGCCGGTTACTTCAGATCTGGCACTTGAAGAAGGAGTGTGAGGATAAATCATGGCACACACGGAGATAATGGCCGATACATCCTCCTCACCACTGCCTTTATCACTCTGGATCAGAGTATAGGCCACAAACAAACACTTTCCACATTTCCCTATCCCAGGCTAGACTCTTGAAATTATTCCACTCCTTCCGATTTTTCTGTACATCATTCTCTGCCACTCTTCTCCAGATTCTAGGTGGCCTTCCCCTTAATCTTTTACCCTGGGGATCCCAATCCAACACTTTCTTTGTTACTACATAGCTGCCTAGCTTCCTGAGAGTATGTCTGATCCATCACCACCGCCTTCTTCCCACTTCCATCTTCAACTGGGCTCTGTCTTGTGCTCCTTAAAACTTCCTCCTCATTGGTGAACCTGTCTGTCCTTCTTACCCTGAATAACTTTCTCAGACATTTGTCTCAAAAAATGACACACTTACACATTTCACTCAAGCATTTCCCCTTCCATCTCCTCTCCTCCCCTATTCCCCCCCC